TGTCGACCACATGCACATATTCAGCAGTGAGTTCATACCCCTACGCTTTTACTACTTTTAACGTTTTCAGGGGGGAATACAATCCAAGCACAAATAATTTTTGTGAACTTATACAAAGGATTTCAACAGAATTAAAACTTATACAAATGATTCAAGCAAGATATCACTACATTTTATAAAATATTTAGGTATTTTTATCCCTTTTGTAACACGATAAGCATAAAGGAAGTTTTCAACTTACAACCATAATTGCATAGTTTTTTAGAATATTACATGAACCGAGTACATGACATACATGCAAACTATACCAGGTATAGTTTGGGATTTCAATACACAGTTTTACGAATTCAGAGCTTATGCATTAATAGACATATAAACTATGGTAGATTTAGTTTATGGCATACATTACCACTTTCTGAATACAAGAGTACAACATTAAATAATTATTTAAGTATAATTATTATTACTCTGCAAAGTATACATACGGTTTCAAGTACAAGAGAACGATACATTACTACATATAAACTACTTAATACAGGTTTGTGAGGCACTACTTCAATTGTACCCTTCGAGATGTGGGATAAAATCCTACCACTGTATAACCAGAGGCTTCTGGAGGGAGAGCGTGAGATTTGTGAATAGATCTATTCGGGATTGAAAATCCCACATGTAAACTGCTAGCTACAGTTAGGCAGGCATGCCTGGAGTGACAAATATCATACCGTTCCGACGCCTGAAGAACATCGCAGAGGTCACTAGTCATATCAAGCATGGTTATACCAAAATCACAACAGTATAACTAACATTTGTTTACGGGATTTCATTCTTCATTAGTTTTATTTTAATTAATAGTACTACTATACACTACACTAGAGGATTCCAAGGGACACAATACATGGTTTTATTTTAATTAATAAAACTACTATACATACTGGTGGTAACCACGGTTTTCATACAGAACATACTATACATACTGGTGGTAGTAACTGTAAGGTGGTGGCTGCTGCCATGAACTGTCGTTGACCACCACCGCCTGAGGTGGCAATGGGTGGTGCTCGACTTATTAATTGCTAATTAACCTAAAAAATTAACCATTAGACCTAATTGGCATGTGTTTGGGTTGGAAACCCTTATTAGGGTTTAGAAAACCCTAATCTTAGAGACTTTTGTGTGGGACTTGTCGGGACCCGCATTTTGGACTGTTGTATTGGAGTTATGGATTATGTCCGACCACATTGTATGATTGACCTAGTGGAGTGGTGAGCTTAATGGATTAAGTCCTTAATGGGTGAAGTGTTCTTACTTAACCCTAATCGTTATTTTATGTGAAACCCTAATTGGGTTTGGGCTTCAAGTTGGGCCTTTCTTTGGGGATTTGGTGATTGGGTTATCGATGGGCCATCTAAGAACAAGTGTATGGAATTGGGAAAAAATTGGATGGGCCTTAGGGTAAGGCCCATGTAAGGGCTTTGGGCCTAATTTAGAAAATTAGGCTATAGTTGGGCCTTGGTTGATTATTTGGATTTTGGGCCTTCGAGTGTGAGTTTAGGCCTTGGTCTTGGACCAAGCTAGGTTAGGGATAAAGTAGTATTTTTACCCTATGTCTGGATTTATGGTTATGCATTGGAACCCAAGTATTAATTTAGTGTTGTTTTGATATTGACAGTTCAAGGATTTGACAGCCAGCAACTAGAGTTTTATCCACGAGACTTCAGTAGTGCGAGGTGAGTTTCCTTATTGGGTTTAGCGGGTCGAAGGCACCAATATCGGCCCACATTTATGCTATGTTAGTATGCTAGTTGTCTTCGTGACTCTTGCATGTGTATGTGTTTATATGCTTTCTGGGCTAAGGTTCGATGATCGGGCGGGGCCCGATGATTCTTTACATGCTATGTATATATGTTGCATGTGTATATGTTTATTCTATATATGTTATGCGAGTGTGGGCGGGGACCATATCTCATTATTATCTGAGTGTGGGCGGGGCCCATTATTTGAGTGTGGGCGGGGCCCGTATCTCACCGTTATTCGAGTGTGGACAAGGCTCATATCTCACTGTTATCCAAGTGTGGATGGGGCATGTATCTCATTATTGCAAGATATGTATGGTATGTGGTATCTTGTGGAACACTAAGCTTTGTGCTTACAGTTTTCAATTTATGTTTCAGGTACTTCGATTTTTAAATGGAAGAGCTTGGGTTGACTGCATGGCACACACACTTATACCTTTTCTTTTTCCTTTTTACTAGAGACTGGGGAAGTTTTTTTGTCGATGCAACTTTGTCCACACCTCCATAGGGATGCCAAAAAATCTCGTGGGACCCTGATCCCATGGGGGCCCCGTCCCACATGGGGGCATTTATTGAAAATAATCGGTGGTCGGGGCGGGTGCGGGGATAAGGTTAATCCCCGTTTTAATTTCGGGGACGGAGGCGGGAGTTGGTAGTCCCGTCGTTAATAAATTATATAAATTAACATATATTAATTATATAAATATAATAAATAATAAAATGATTTTTACAAATAGAAATTCAATAAAAAAACATGTTTTTAAGTTGTTTGTAACATGTAAAACTATGTTATAAATATCTATTTGTTACTCAAAAAATAGTTTCTTTTAGCCTAAACAAGAGCTTCTTTTAGCCCAAATAAGGTAGCTCAAAATCAATCGGGGGCCGGGAGCAGAAGGTGAATTCGGGGGCGGGGGCGGGGGATGCAATCCCCGTCCCGTTTTCCCTTGTTGACATCCCTACACATCCATCATCCCATGATACCCATCAAAGATGCATGTTACGATGAAGCTAGGGTCTTCCTATGTGTAATGTTGGAAATGAAAATATATTACAAACCATACCTGGTACGGGCATTTCCTGCAACATGGATTAACCTACAGACTTCAAAATCATGTCCTTGGGATGAACTAGCCCCCATATCTTAATCCTCTTTAATCGATTCCAAAACTAGGTTCATGTGTATCTGGATTTGTGTGTATATTCTAAACCACCAAACTCTCTTTATTTCTTTTCCTAGCTCCAGTTAATCCTAATTTGTGTCTTTGTTAGAACATGATAACGGAGAAAAAAATCGATGTCGGAGAAAAAAATCGATGTTCAGATTCTATATTTGGATTCGATGGTAGATAAAGAAAAATTTTAAGAGGAATTCGTGAAGAGGCCATCGAAAACCTAAAAACCATATAAGCTGTGGTGGATTCAAAACCAAAATCAGATCCTTGAGTCAAAGGGTGATGACTTGGCTCTAATCTATTAGAATGTATCGATAAGGTTTATCTGGGTTTGTTTTAGTCTAGGCTTGATTTTGGAGTTGCAGAACTTAAAAAACCCAAATCAAGAAAAGGGTGTGTTCTTTTTAAGAATAAGAGGTACATGAGAGAGAGAGAGAGGGGGGGAGAGAGAGAGAGAGAGACCCTTCGCATATTAAATTTCATTTTTTATTTAAAAAAAAATTAAGAGAACCTCACAAATGGTCAATGAGGTAGTGAAATAATGCAAATACACTTTAGTTAACGAACAAATATTGAAGGAGTGAGCCATAAGAACTAAACATTAAGTTTTTTAAAGTTAGGGTCGAAACTTCATATTTTAACATTTTTGAATTTGTCTTATATTTATATTTTTGCATGTCAAATTCTCTTTAATAAATGAAGTGTGTGTTTATATATATATATATATATATATATATATATATATATATATATATATATATATATATATATATATATATATATATATATATATTAGCAGGTGTCATACTCTCATTTAAATTGTCAAATATCATTTTATGAATTTTTTTTCCAGAATGATCTAGCTATTTGGACTATTTTTATACTCTTAAAGGATCCTCTAATAATTGCTCTAACTTTTCACCTAAAATAAACTAATCACTACAAAAGCTGGACCCTATTAATTACTCTAACTTTTTATATTCTTAATGGACCCTCATGATTATTTTATATTTTACTTTAAACAAAATCAATCATTATATATTAAAAGGGTTTAATATAAAGATTTGTTTATAGAAAAAAAAAAATATTTTTATAAAAAGGTATTAAAATAAAAACATATTTATTTTTTTCAAATCTATAAAATAAAATATTTTAAATAAAAATTTATAATTATTTATTCTGTTTTTAAATGAAAGGGAAGAATTGAGATTTTTGGTGTCTGTAGATTTTTATTTCAGTGTATATGCTTGCGTAAATATTTAAAACAATGGTCGCTATAAATATATGTAATGTAACTATATTTTCTATTAATAATACTTATTTTTCATTTAAATATTTAATATCGTTTTATTTTTATTACTTGGTTTATAAAAATATTAAAATATATAAAAAACGTTGACATGTTGTATTATTATTTGATTATAAAAGAATAAAATATATAATAAATAAAAAGTTAATAATAATTAAATGATAGGTACGAGTTTAAAAAAAATAGTTTTTAGTAATCATACAAGCTATTGATATTATAAATATATAGAAATTTATATATAAAAAAATCATTAATAAGAGGTCCCCTAAGAAAATCTAGGATCCAATATAATATTTTAATATAATAATGTAAAAATAAATTGATATTAATATCATTAATAAATTTGTTTTTTAATTTTAAAATTTAAAAAGTTAAAGTTCTTTAATTTCTTTTTTTATTTAAATTTAAGAAATAAAATATAATTTTATTATAATAATTTATTATTTTTTATATTTTCTTATAAAACGGATGATAGAGAGCAACAAGTACTTCAATTCTAAAACAATATCCAAATCAAAGAATCATGGAACGAGTAAAATACATCAATAGTCTTTTCGATCTCAACCAAATTTCACAAAAATCATATATGTATGTAATCATATATCGAAAAAGAAAAGGCGAGTAGAAAAAATATATAAAAATGTTGTGAACTTGAAAACAGCAACGACATCTCTCTCTCTTTCTTCTTTTTTTTTTTTTTTTTTTTTTTTTTTTTTTTTTTTTTAATCAGAAGCATTTCCTATGCACAATCGATGGACCAGACTCATCATATTCCGCCTTCGCTATCCACATCTGCAATCATACACAAAAAAAAAAACATTCCCTTAGTAACTCTTTACAAATTAAGTAAAAAAAAAATAATTTTTTTTTTGTTATCGACAGAAAGGAAAAAAGATGGAACCTGCTGGAAAGTGCTGAGGGATGCAAGAATGGAGCCTCCGATCCAGACACTGTACTTCCTTTCCGGAGGGGCGACGACCTTGATCTTCATGCTGCTCGGGGCTAAAGCGGTAATTTCCTTGCTCATCCTATCAGCAATACCAGGGAACATAGTCGTACCACCACTAAGAACAATGTTTCCGTACAGATCCTTCCTGATATCCACATCGCACTTCATGATGGAATTGTAAGTAGTTTCATGAATACCAGCAGCTTCCATTCCGATCATCGAAGGCTGGAACAGAACCTCCGGGCACCGGAAACGCTCAGCTCCGATCGTGATCACCTGCCCGTCGGGCAGCTCGTAGCTCTTCTCCACGGCGGAGCTTGTCTTGGAAGTCTCCAGCTCTTGCTCGTAGTCTAGCGCGATGTAGGCGAGCTTCTCCTTCATGTCTCGAACGATTTCACGTTCTGCTGATGTCGTGAAAGAGTAGCCGCGTTCGGTTAAGATCTTCATTAGGGCGTCGGTAAGGTCACGTCCGGCGAGGTCAAGACGGAGGATGGCGTGTGGAAGAGCGTAACCTTCGTAGATCGGAACAGTATGACTCACACCATCGCCGGAATCCAAGACGATACCTGTAAGAAGAAATAATTTTAAATAAAACTGCAGAAAAAAGATGATCGGAAAACAGGGGGGGAATACTTACCGGTTGTACGACCACTAGCATAGAGAGAAAGGACAGCTTGAATTGCGACGTACATAGCAGGAGTATTGAATGTTTCAAACATGATTTGTGTCATTTTCTCACGATTAGCTTTAGGGTTCAATGGTGCTTCGGTAAGGAGAACGGGATGTTCTTCAGGAGCAACACGGAGCTCGTTGTAGAAAGTGTGATGCCAGATTTTCTCCATGTCATCCCAATTGCTAACGATACCATGTTCAATTGGGTATTTTAGGGTCAAAATACCTCTTTTGGATTGAGCTTCGTCTCCGACGTACGCATCTTTTTGGCCCATTCCGACCATCACACCAGTGTGACGGGGACGACCGACGATACTTGGGAACACAGCTCGTGGTGCATCATCTCCGGCGAACCCTGCCTGCAAATTCAATTGTTTATGTTTATGTTTATGGATTTGAAGAATTAAGAAATTTGTGATCATTACCTTGACCATTCCAGTTCCATTATCGCAGACTAGTGGTTGAATATCCTCACCGTCCGCCATGTTATGCTACCTAAACAACAAAATGTATACGTGTAAACAAATCCTTCAATCTCCATAACCAGATGTCGAGAAGAATATTAGGTATTCGATCCAACCAGGGCGGGAGTATTGATTTAGACCATTGGCGAGCTAATAAGAATGTAACAAATTAACTATGTGGTACCTCAATAGAATCAGATGCAATAGCATATATTAAAGAATGAGAAGATTTCGCTCATTAACATCAGTTTGTTGCATCATTAATTCATTATCATACCATTCTACAAACAATTGTTTCAATCAATATTTCTCCGATCAGAAAAATGGTTAACTACATGATAGAGGATTTACGACATTGACATGATTGAAAGAACTGTACGTGGATTCATATAACGAATTTCACTTTATGTTTAACGGTTTCAGATCGTCAACAGTTTAAGTCAGATCAGAACAGGAATGAAGAAAATGCAATTCGCACAAAATTAGGTTCCATAGTCATTTCAATCAACATCAATGAAGCAAAAGCAAAAAAATCCGCAATAATCACACAAAAGAACGAAGAAAACGCACTTCACATTATACATCAAAAAGATAGATATGATACATGCATATAATCAATTTAAATAAGAGTGACGCTAAAATTGTTAGAAGTTTTACCAAGAAAAAGAACAGAATAGGGATCGAAATGTAGCAGAAGGTGAACGTGTGAAGTAAAAATGGATTAATGAAGAAAAGGAATGAATCATACCTGAGGGAAACCTAGAAAAATGGCTTGATATGAGGGGGGAGATGAGAGAGATGGATGGAATTGCGGAATGAAATATTCAACAGAACCCGAAATCGAATCGAAACGATGGAGGGATTATAACATGAAACCGATTGGATGTGGATCGTTGGATGGGTTTCATCTTGTAAACATGGGTACCACTAATTTCTCTTCATATTTTAAATAAAACACAAAATTAGCTTATATATCTCTATTTTCAATCAAATATTGTTTGGTTGCCTTGTTTATAAATTATTTTAAATTTAAATTTAAATTTTAAATAATAAACATTCAAACACCCTGTGTATAAAACCGTATTGATTAAAGCTTGTGAAGATTGAGATTTTATGTAAGATTGTTTTATATGTTGTAGATGTTTTCTAGAGTCTATAGTCTATATTCGATAAATTTAATTAGTTCAAAATAAAATATAATAAAAAAAAAATAGTAACAATCTTATGATATTCCTAGTCTACTGTGGCTTTACCAAAAATAGAATCACATTTGATTGGGATGGTTGGCATAAAAATAAAAACAATAATGATGGGATAATAACTTACTTATAGGGTCTTCTTAGCTCAATACCATTTCCAACCCTACTTTTTACATCTACACCATCATTCTACCACAAACCAATATCAAATCTCAAAAACTTATAAACTATTAAAATCAAATAAGATCTTAAAATATCACTTAGATAAAATGTTTTTAAGAGGGTTTTGAGACAAAAATGTAAATATCTACAAAATATAGGTTCGAGGCAGTGTGTGTTGGTGACAATTATAAATATCATGGCTATCCTAGTTCTCCAAATTGGTCTTCTTTAAATTTGAAAATTAATTGACAAACAAACTTGTTAAAAAATGCAATTTCACCCCAAATGTATTGCGAGATTTAACCAAATAAAAAGGTCTGACAATTTCATATTTAATAAAATACGCAAACCACACAAACTAAGTTCACATTACAAAACTTTCATGAATTCATTATGTTTCTCGATGACAAATTGCAAGGTTTGGCAATGTTATCTTTAATCAAAATTTCAACAACACTTTCTTGAATTTAGATAAACTTTAGATGAAAAACATAAACTATGTAACTACATTATCGATTGAACTAATTCACAATAACACGCACCGGACAATTTGTTTTATTGGACAATTTCGTATTGTGATGCTTGGCAAAATTGGTTTTGATTGACTATGATATGCATACCTATTTATTCAACGTTTTTTTAAATGTTTAGATATATTTACATTTTACATAAAAAAAATTATACAATTTCATAAACATTTTATGAAACTACTATGAGAAATTTTGATATTTGCAGTGCGATAAATATTAAAAATTTCACATTTTGGAACAATTTTACTAAGTTTGTTCAGTAGAAATGTTGGGAGAAAATTCTAGGAGCCTTACTTGTCTGCTCTTAAATTTGATGCTGCTTAGGAATATTGCATATCTCCAGTGTTATAAAAGTTAAGGGTGCGTTTGATTGTGGAAAATTGTTTTCATTTTCTAAGAAAATGTTTTCAGAAAATAGAATTGAGTTTCATTTTCAATTTTCAATAAAAATTTTAGAAAGCGCGTTTGGTTGAAACCGGATGAGTTTTCATTTTTCATCTTAGAAATTTGAAAAATTTTGGAAAACTGTAAAAATCACTTTTCTAATTTACATACAATTTGAAAAACTGAAAATTTTCATTTCCTTGGAAAATTTTGGAAAATTGAACGAACCAAAAGTGTTTTTAAAATTTCCGTTTTTCTTGGAAAATTTTCCTACAAAACTAAAAAAAATTCTACAACCAAACACACCATAAAATTTTCATATTTTAGAACAATTTCACCAAGTTTGAACACTAAAAATGTTGAGAGAATTGAAATTTCCAGGAACCTTACTTGTCCACTGTGAAACTTGATGTTAGTTTGGATTTTGTGTTAGGATTAAAGAAATTGCAAACTACATATTGATTTGAAATATGTGGGGAAAAAAATCCCTTTAATTATAGACCACAAGTCTACAATATGCAAAAAGATGACTTTTTTTATTTTTATTTTTATTTTTATTTTTTTATTTTTTTTAAGTATGCAAGCAATAACTATAATCACAATCACAAATAAGTTTGTATAAAACCATAAGCATAAACACATCTGCAAAACATATTCAAAACATAGAAATAACAACATATTCAAAAAAAAAAATTATTTGCTCAAAGCTCAATCAAAACAATAACCGTATGCTCAAATACCACAACATCACAATACAACCCACCCAATCAACACCAATTATTAAAAAATCATGCAACTTAAAATCCGATTTGTATGAAATATTAATTCTAATTCCAAACAAGCTGTAGATTTCTCATAACATAACATATATAGACAATTAAAAATAATTCTTATTTTTTCATCGTCTTTATTAATCCGCTAGTTTATAACCAGTAAGAACTACGATTATAAAATTAATTAAATTTTTATAGTAAAAACTCAAAATTATTAATCAATTGTTTGAAATAAATTATTAATTAAGAGACATGTTTATTAATTATGTTAAATTATAATCATTGATTCAAATAAATCTGTAAAATTAATTTTTAGTATATAGTACATTTTTTATTTGTGAATTAATGAAAACAATAATATAAAATTTAAAATAGAAAATAAATACATTGACAAATAACATCACATTAATGAGGATGTTTAATAAATTTAAAATGAAGAACTAATTGAATGATAAATGTCAACACATTAATTAAGAGGTCTAATATAATGATACATGACAAAGAAACTACTCTTTTATTAGTAGAGAGAGATTAAAGATAATCCTTTTCGTTAAATTACCTTAAAGAAATAATTCATATTCTAATAAAAGAATAGGTTTAATCTCCTATTGACAAGGGTTATATAATTAGAGCTCATCATTAATGTTTATATATCACCAATTATGTCATTTCTCAACCTATTAATTATTCAATTTAAATTTCAAATTTTAAATTTCCACTATAATTACACTAATTAATAATTGATTATCCATTTTAAATTTTAAATTTTAAATTTTCTACTCTAATTATATTAAATTCATAACATTAGATTGAAAAATAAAATAAAATTAATATAAATTATAGTGTGATATAACTTCAAGTATTTATTTAAATCAACAATTATAATTTCATATAACAAAAAAATATCTCTTAAATAATAATTTATTTAAAATAATTGATTAATAATTTTAATTTTTTAATATGAAATTTTATTTAATTTTATAACCGTGTTTTTCACAAGTTATATACTAGTTCCTTTATATGATCCATAATTCTCATACATTCCACTTACCATTTACAAAAAATATGCAACGACTTAGATGGTGAAACTTGAATAACGACCACAAATTAGAAAGAGGACATAAGAGACAAGAGAGGGGATAGAGGAGAGATGAAAGGATAGAGGGTAGAGAAGACTACCTGCAGTGGAGGACGTAATAGGAGGCAACATTATTGAGTAATGCCCAACATGAAAGGATGAGGTGTGAGCAACATAATCGAGATAATGGTTGCATGAAACAACAAGGTATGGAAAAAAAATAAGGTTTAAAAGATGTCTCACAACAATAAAAACTTTTTTATAAAGTTACTCATTTCTTTTTATATATGTCTTTATTCTAAAAACAAACAATTTTTCTCAAATGTTTGCCCACACACATACATAGTTAGTGAACCAAAACAACTATGATTTTCGTAGATGACATCAACAAAAAACTTGTCATGTGCAAAAATATATGAAACGACAATTTAAGGATTTTGCAATTGTTACCTTAAAAATATAATCCATATAGGAAAAATTGGTCCCAAAACTAAATTGAATTTTTTTTATAGATGTCATTTGCGACAATTTAGGTTTCGCCTATCAAAATTAAAGTTTTCCTGCAATAATAAAAAATCATGTTTTTTTGTGTTTGAAGTCTTAAGAAAATATTTTGCAGCAAAAGAAAGGTTAATATTACACTTTTTACATTTACATGCAAAAATAAAAAATTAGATTTCTCACCTTCGTAAAAATAACGAGACAATATTTTGTGTGTTATTTTTATTGGTCAAAACTACAATATTAAACTTTTATTCGACATGGAAATGGGTTCTGAACACTTATAACAACGACACCATAACAAATAAATAAATAATAAAAAACTTAAAAAAACATGATTTTTTAATTTTTACGGTTAAGATCAGTAGGTGTAACATGACATTGAGAGGTGAGAGGAACACCACACCCTCTATGTGAGGGGTAGTGGGAAGAACCTCACACAAGAAAACTACCTTATTCCTTTTTTTAATTGTTATTAAGTCATATATATATATATATATATATTAAAACTTTTAAAAAATTATATCAAAAATCAAAGTTTTTAATTCTTTATAAATAGAATATCATATTGATATATTATTTATATGTATTTGAATTATAAAAAAAAAGAGGTGCAAGACAGTGAAAAATGATTATTTCATATCAACAAAGATATGAGAAAAAATAAGAAGATGTTGATTTGATTTGATATGTAAAAAACGTGGTGAAGTGATTAACCACACTTATTGGCCTAATTTTTACAAATGATATCTACGAAAAATCCTTAAAATGATGTTCTTTTGGATATTTTAATAGATGTCATATGTGAGAATCATGACAATTTTGTTAAATTTTGTAAACTTTAAAAAAATGGATAATAAAATTAGTTTTTCTCTAAAAATATCATATTCTGATAATACGCTTATCAATTGAAAATTATTTGTAACTTTTATATTTGGTTTTAGTTTAAAATAAACTAGCAGTGCACCTGCGCAAAGCGGCGGGGCGTGTAAATTCTTTTAGTGATATGTTTCCTCTACAAAAATGTTATATTACAAAAGAAAGTACACGTCGAAGACAAAATAATCAAACTATGGTGTTATTTGGGAAATGAAGTCATTTTTTGTTCCTGGACGGTGGACTTTATAGTAGAGGAGGGAGCAAAGAGGTATATGCGATTGGAGGGATATTTGAATCAACATGCTAAATTTAAGGATATCTAAAAGGGTTCAAAATTTGAATGAATCCGAGATTTGAGGAAACCATATCAAATTGTTGAGAAATATAAGGAGATTTGATGATAAATATTTGAATTCAAAATATGGTTAAAATTTAATATTATTTTATTAATGATTAGTTGTACTATCAGCTTCATCATTTGGACGTCTTAAAAAAATATTATTATTATAATCAATCTATTTTTAGAAATAGTTAGATTTCTTTTATAAGATAGTAAAGATAATGATAACTTTAAAAATATAGAAAACTATATTTGGAAAATAAAAATTTGAAATTATAATTGTTAGATTTTGTATTTTGTAGAAGTTAGAACAAGAATATTAAAGTTGTTCCAATATAACAATATGCATTTAGAATTTAAAAGTTCAAATAATAAATTCTAAAACAAATCAAATACAATAATTAGGATTCTGTCTTGCTCAAAAATTATTTTTAACAACTTTAGAAATATAATCTTATTGAATTTAAACTAAAGTCTAAAACATGCATGTGCATTTAGGTACTGAAAGTGATTAGACTTTTCATGTATTTTCATGATTGGGCCTTTTGAAGAAAGATGGATTTTATTCATGTGTAGGAAATATAAATAAGAATACAGAATAGTAATTATTTATTTGTATATTATAGATTTGTTTTAAAAAATAAAGTGGTATTTTTTTTTAATATATTGTTGCA